CGATAATTTTTTAATTTTAGCCACTTCTTAATAATAGCGATACATTTCTAATCTATCGCGATACCTTCGATAAATACGATAAATTCTAGAAACTTAATCCGCTCGATATAGAATTAATACTTCTTTAGACTAGCGTATAGTTAGAACTAGCGTAAACGCTTAAATACTTACTTAATATATCGTTAATACTTTACTAAATTAATATTATAAATTAGAATATTATTTAAATATACTATATATATTATATCTATTAAACTTATAAGAGCTTTATTAATATACGCTTAAAAAATTATCGATATATTAGCGAGTCTAAAAGATATAATTAAATATTCGAAGTAGTTATAATAACTACGAAACGCTATTTTCCACTTATTACTTTCTTTAATTCGAATTCGATAATAGATATCCTTAAGATTCAGCTTTATAAAGACTTTAACGTTATATAAGCGATTTAAAGTCTTAGTAATTAGAGATAGCGAATATCGATTTTTAATAGTTATCGTATTTAGGCCTCGATAATTAACGTAAAGATAAAGCTCCTTATTCTTTTTAGAAATAAAAAGAATTAATACTTTAACTAAAGAAGTCGAATAACGAATCTAGTTTTTCTAAAAAAAGTTCTTTAGATAGCGCCGTAGCTTCGCTAATTTTATTTAAGATAGATTATATAAAGAGCTATATAGCGGCTTTTTATCGCTCTCGATCTTAATAATATAATTTCTCTATTTAAGCGTAAGTAAGATCTCTACTTTTTTATTAAAAAAAACGTTATTAAACTCTAGTAACTTCTAAAAAAGTTTTAAGCTATATTCATTTTTCGATTCGCTTTATATTACCGCGACGTATACAATTATAAATATATTTAGCTCTTATTTAATAATTTAAGTAAACTTAATTAATTCTTTAATTTATAATTTATTAGCGTTAATCTTAAATTACTATTACTTCGTCGCTAAATCTAATAATACTTATAATTAACTTAGTCTAAATATATTTAATACGATATTAAAGCCTTTTTAATTAATGATATAGAAGAGTATATTATACTTTCTACTCTAATCTTAACTATTTACTAATTAATAATTTAGTTAATATACGCTATAATAATATATACTTTAACTATTTAACGCTTTCGATTATAATAAAATAACGTTATAAGATTTTAAATCTTATTAAACTATAAACTTTTATAAAATTAAATTAATATATATTCTAATATCGAGTAGAGTAACGAGTTACCTCTATTTACTTTAAAGCTTTATTCACCTCTTTATAAGAATAGAAAGAATTATCTCTATTAATTATTATTCTTACCTCGCTTCTAAGACGATTATAAGATTAAATCTTTTTTTATTAATACTACGCCGATATAGGCTATAGACGATTTATCGAGATTTAAATACTTAGATATTTAATAACCCTATTTTCTATAATAAAAATAACTATTCTTCTTATAATTAGAGTTAAAGAATTTAGCTTTACGCTTTATATTATCGTCTTAAATACGCGCTATATAAGCGCCGCCGTTTAAAGTTAATTTAGACTTCAAAATTTAATCCTCTAAAGACTTATCCTTAGCGAACCCCTTTAAAGACTTCGAATAGAAACCGCCGTTAAAGCGTACGCGTTTTAAAATCTTTTTCTATATAATAGTCTAGATAAGAATTTCTTTTCGTTATTTCGATATATTATTAATACTTAGAATCTTATTCTTAAGCTCTAATTTAAGCTTAGCTAAAAAGAAATTAACTCGATACTTCTTAGAAAATAGAGTTATATAGACCTCTAGCTTCTTTAAATAGATCTTAAAAATAGATATCTTTTAATTAAAGCGTTATTTAGCCTTCTCTTACTTTTCATAAATAAAAAAATAGCGATTTACTAAATCCGCCACTAAATTAAGTAAAAACTACTTAAAGAATTCGAAAGTTATATTCTTTAGACTATAGATTTAATAGTATTTATATTATTAAGTATTAAGATCGCCTTTTAAGAATTATATATAATAAATAATTCTTAATTAATTAATAATAAAATACTTAAAACTTATAAGAAACTTAATTTCGATTTCGCGGAACTAGCGTAAATACTCTCCCTTACTAATACTCTTATAAAAATATATTTTTTTAGAGCGAAATATTTTCGTCTTAATTAATATATTCGCTAGAGACGCGATAATAACCGACGTAGATAAATCCCCGCTAGCTATAAACGATAAGCTAGCGTTATAAAGCTCGCGATTATAAATCTTTAATATAGTTAATTCTTATTCTTATTCTAGGCGACGATTTTTAATTCTAATAATTATAAGATATTATTTTATAGTAAGATCTTTTATTAATAAGAAATTCTCGAACTTATTATCGACGCTATAGCGGCTCTCGATATTATCTTCATTTTTTATTATACGATTTAGAAGTAAACTCGATATTATAATAATAATAGGCCTTTTTCTTTAAAAGATAGAGAGATTAAAACTATAAAAGCGTAACTTACTAGCGATTAATTAGCGAATATAGACTATAAAAGACGTAATATCGTTATAGAGTTTAATAGTATATTTAATAATAGAATTAATCTCTAAAAAATATTAAAACTTTAAAATATATAAAGTAAACCTATATCCGTTAAGTCTCTAGATATATGAGATATATTATTAAAACTAAACTCTAAAAGGGACTCTAACGTAGTATATACGATATCGACGCCTTAACGTAAGTAGCGTTAAGGCCCATAACGCATTAGGCCTAACATTTACCTTCTCGATTATTCTATAAATCTAAAATAAATCATTTATAGTTAGATTCTTTTCTATTACGACGATATAATATCGAATAATAATCTTTCGAAAATTATCTCGCTTCTAATAAATCTCATTTAATATAACTATAAATTCGTTAGATTAGTACTTAATTTAATATTATAATTATAGAATATTAGTAATATTTTAAGATATTTCTACTAAGTCGAACTCGTTAACTATATTATCTAATAGAACTAATACTCGTTAAAACTTAATTTACTTAAATAGAGTCTTAATTTAATCTATTCTTTTAATATTAAACTTTATTATAAAAGAAAGTAAAAAGAAGTTTAAATACTTCGAAAGAATAGATATTAGAGTCATCAGATATATTAAAGAGTAATAAAATTTCTTAAAAACGCGTCGAAATTATTCGATATTAAAAATAAAGAATTTTACTATAAAGTTTAAGATAAGATTATTTCTTTATAAAGATTTAATATATTTATTTCTTAATTATTTAAAGCGTTAAGAAAATTATAAGTGCTTTAAATAATAGTTTTTCGAGTATACTTACTCCGCTTAGAGGGTCTCTTATCTCGTAGAGAAGTTATATACGAGGAAGTTTCGAAGAATAGTATCTTTAATTAGCTATAACTCGGCCGTTTCTTATCTAATTAGAGCCCCGTTAAAACTCTAGATATTATAATATATAAAGTTATAAGTAATACTACTAGTATATATTTTAAATATAAAAATATAGAATAATATTAACTATTTCTTTCGATTCGCTAGCCGTACGAATAATTCAATACCTTCTTTATCCCTCGACTACTATTTGCCAAGACCGTTTCGCTATTTCTTTTAGGCTCTTTAAAATCGATTTATCTATCTAATAGACTTATTTAAAAATACGATAACTTAACTTAATTTCTTATCAAAGCCTCTATTAGCGCGTTTCTTTAAATTCGTCTATTAATACGAATAGAATAAGTAAGTTAATCTTAGTTATAGTATTAGAATTAATATAAATATAATATTAATATAGATATATTAAATAAGATAATTAAGGTATCGAACTATATAGATAAGAAGAAGATATAATATAGTAGAGAATACCTTCGCTAAGACCCGCTAGTTATAGGGCTAAGAGATATATTAAGAATACGCTCGTAATAGTTATTACTATTTAATACCCTTTCTATCTTCTATTATTCTTCTATTAAATAAAAAGCCTCTATTAGCCTTAATAAGTAGAAAGAGTCGCGAAAGGGGATTAAACGTAGTAAACTCGCGCCTATGATACCCTCGAAGGTCGCGTTAATAATATTAAAGTTACTTATAAATACTCCGACGACTTATAAGATTATTTTTACGTTAAAAATAATTATTAAATAAATATTTAAATAATTTAACGCGTATTAGCCTTTAATTAATAATTTTTAAATATATAATAAGCTTAATAAGCCGCTAACTATCTAAGGCACTTAATTATTCTATTAATAATATTATTTATATAAGAGGATAGAAAAAAATAAAAAAAAAAATATATTTAAAAAAAAAAAAAAAAAAAAAAAAAAAAAAATTTTTTTATTTAATAAAAAATTTTTTTAAAAAAAAAAAAAAAAAAAAAAAAAAAAAAAAAAAAAAAAAAAAAAAAAAAAAAAAAAAAAAAAAAAAAAAAAAAAAAAAAAAAAAAAAAAAAAAAAAAAAAAAAAAAAAAAAAAAAAAAAAAAAAAAAAAAAAAAAAAAAAAAAAAAAAAAAAAAAAAAAAAAAAAAATAAAAAAAAAAAAAAAAAAAAAAAAAAAAAAAAAAAAAAAAAAAAAAAAAAAAAAAAAAAAAAAAAAAAAAAAAAAAAAAAAAAAAAAAAAAAAAAAAAAAAAAAAAAAAAAAAAAAAAAAAAAAAAAAAAAAAAAAAAAAAAAAAAAAAAAAAAAAAAAAAAAAAAAAAAAAAAAAAAAAAAAAAAAAAAAAAAAAAAAAAAAAAAAAAAAAAAAAAAAAAAAAAAAAAAAAAAAAAAAAAAAAAAAAAAAAAAAAAAAAAAAAAAAAAAAAAAAAAAAAAAAAAAAAAAAAAAAAAAAAAAAAAAAAACAAAAAAAAAAAAAAAAAAAAAAAAAAAAAAAAAAAAAAAAAAAAAAAAAAAAAAAAATATAAAAAAAAAAAAAATAATAAAAAAAAAAAAAAAAATAAACTCTCCGGCGGTTCATCGTACTCAGAGGCATCTAAAGAAGATCCAGGTAGTTAGAGGACCGCCAAAATGTCGTCTCAAGCGGTGATGTCGATTGACCTGAAGTCCCTAAAGCTGGTCGCGAGGTACCTTTCCCTGCGCTTCAAAATTATTATTGCGTATCCCTTTGATGTTTCTCAGAAGTCTAATATCCGGACACAGTGGTAAAGTAAGAGAGATATACCAGATCGACAAGTCTACTCTCCTCATGGTCGTCACGGATAGAGTATCTGCATATGACGAGATCCTCTCTAGTGGAATCCCCGATAAAGGAGCTATCTTGTGTCAGATGTCAGGTACTCCCAAGAATCTTCCTAGCCATGCCTTTTCACCCTCCATTTACCCCCCGCGTCCCCCGCCACCGTCGGACTGTTAATTAATACCTTTCAGAAGTCGCTAATCCAAATGCCTGTAGCGTATTGGTTCACTCTTCTCGGCGCCCAAATGCCGAATTTCAGACACCATGTTCTGAGCCTTCAGCCACCGTCCGGCTGCCAAATCGTGTCTCTTTCGGAGAGAGCAACCTTACGAGGTCGATGTATGCAGATCCAGGCCCTAAAGGTGTTTCCTATCGAGGTCATCGTTCGGGGCTACCTTACAGGGTCTGCATGGGATGAGTCAGTCTAGCCACGTCTTCTAATTAAGCTTCTGTCGCAGCTTCCCATTTTCTAACCTAGTTATTGTTTGTATAGATACAAAAAGTCTTCAACAGTTCACGGTATTCCGCAGCCGGCGGGGCTGCAACGCTGTCAGGCGTTCCCGGGGGGGCCGATCTACACAGTAAGTCTACTTCTGGATCGCATTTACTCCCGCGAGTATCTCAAGAGCAGGTCCTTCGTATCTTACTTTCGAGCACTCCTATGCGGGAAGACTGAGACGAACATTTAACAGCCGTCCACGAAAGCGCCCCAAGGTTTTCACGACGAGAATATTTCGCCCGAGGAGGCAAGAAGGATTGTGGGCGAAAAGTGGGCTGGGGAGATTGAAAATCTTGCCCTCAGTATCTACAAGACCGCTCATTCATTCGCTGTAAGTAACTTTGAGCGCCATAACTTCCCGGCCATGTCTTAGGGCATCGACAAAAGAACACATTCCCCAGAACTCGAATTCATGCTCTTGAGCTCTCCTTCATAGGCGGACCTAACTCCCGTTGTCCAGATGGAGAGGGGCATCATCATCGCCGATACCAAGATGGAAATCGGTGGCTTCTTCTCTTTCCCAATATGCATTGTTATTTTGCTAATGAGATGACATAGCCCTCGACGAGAAGAAAGACGAGATAGTTGTAGTAGACGAGCTGTTGTAGGTCTCACATCTCAATATCTCCTCTCCTCTGCGCATAGAATATAGTCTGCGACCGACGAACTGCTCCTGAAAATGATTCCGACCGGTCGTCTACGAGAAGTGCTGACGTCTGAATGCGATAGGACTCCTGACAGCTCGCGTTTTTGGCCAGCGCCGGTCCGTGTGGGCGAAGAGCAACCAAGCTTTGATAAGCAGCACATTCGTGATTACTTAAAAGCCCACGGCCTGGTGGGAAAGCCCGGCGTAAGTCACCCTCATGGGTTTACTGCAGCTCCCAGGACAAGGCTATCTTGAACCTCCATCAAGTTCAGTACACTCCGCTCCTCTCAAGACATACTGACAATTTTTTTTCTCTAGGTAGAGCTACCCGAGCACATTGTTACTGAGACGACAAATGCATATAGGGAGGTTTTTAGAAGGTAGGTTACGGATTTCATCTGGGTCTATCTACCCGCGATGCTAATTACTATCCCGCACCGTAGGCTTACCAGCCAAACCCTTGAACAGGCTATGGAAGCGTTGGGGGATTGACTTATGGCAATCCTCAAGGTACTTGGGAGTCAGGAGGCGCCTATCAAATGAAGAGATCTTTCAAATGAGTAGGAGAGAAGAGCTAGAGGGTAACAGAATGGACTTCTTATTGTTACGGTTCTTCTTAGAATTATAGAGCGGGCAGTAGCAAGGAGAATATAGTAATAGTTTTACGAAGAGACCGGTCGTTTCGAAACCCCGCCATTTGAGCTGACCGATATAGATCTTGGAGTCCGCATCAATCCCCAACACGAACCTGAGAGAAAGCCTGATGTGATTTTGGGGCATTGCATTCGATAAGGGGTGGAACAAAATTCCATGTTGGAAGCAATGCCTTTCTCGTTCCGCAACGACTCCAACATATCTAACACCACAGCATTCCCAAAAGACTTCGTTTCGAATCCTTTTCGGGCTTTACCAAGACTCTCCGCAGTCGCAAGCAGGACCGTTGCTTTCAGGACGACCACGTAAATGGACCTCAAAGAGTTGACCGAGATATTGTAAGACCATTGCGGCAGTGGCCCGCCCTGATGCGGTCGCAAGGTGACAACGATTGCAATTCAGGCCAAGACAAAAACGAAACGGGCGCCAATTTCGAGCCACCAGTTCCTGAGGAAGTGAGCGCGGCGTCGCATGGGGACAACGTTGGTGGGAGAATCATGGGCGTGTTGTTCTGGGACTGCTTGCCTTGTGGCTATGGGTAAAAGTTACTGGGTCGGCAGACGAGCTTCGGGACTGGGGCTTCTACCGACCGCGGTGTCGCCACGGGAAGGTCCTTTGTGTTTGTGTTCAGAAGACTTCTTCGGCCAATGACGACGTTCCTTGCGAGGTGGAGCTAATGCTCGGTCCATGGTTTCTCATTCGCAGACGATACCGCACGAATACGACTCGGCGGCTACAAGAACAATGTTGCTCGCCTGCATCCTCTTGGTTCAAAGTTAGATAACCGCTTTTCTTTTCTCACCAATTTGTTTGCACGAGAGTGAAGAACATCGACGAAGCGAAGAAATGGGGCCGACGCTGCTTTTGTAGATCGCCGCATTTTTGATCGTCGCGCTGTACGAGGCGGAGTGTTGAGAAGGATGCGCGGAAATGTGGGAGGTAACAAGTATCTGTATATCACTTTCCTCTGCCTGCACGCTCTTTCGATTGCTTTATGTGAGCCCTAATCGGTTGAGAGATGGCCATCCAATGCATATAAATTGTGCAGAGACGCCATTGGAGCTCTGATGTATACTAATCGTGCACATGCATAGGCTAGTCTGAACTGAGGACTGAGCATGTAGGTAGGATAGTGGGGAAAGTCCTCGTTGGGTACATTGGTCTGCTACGCAGAGGTTCCGACCGGCTGGCTGAACTTCGACCACGAGCAGCGCCCGTTCCTCGCTAAACTCGGGAAATGTCGAGCGTGAATTGTGCCTCTGGAGGATTATGTAATGGATATGTGACGAGAGAATGCCAAAGAACTTGATGTGTTGATAGGTTGCATAGTATATACAAAGCACGCCGGCTATGGCTCAGCATCTCTCATATCGCTCTTGAACCTCTCCATACATCTCTGCTTCGTCTCCTTCCAGTCCACATGCGGCCTGGGATAGCCTAACTTCTCAAATTCTGCTTTAGGTAGTCTATCGTGAGGAGAGAAGACAGCCTTTCCCTCCACGCCTCTCAACTCGGGAACCCACCTTCTGATGTAATCACCATGGGGATCGTTCTTCTCTGCCTGACTGACAGGGTTGAAAACCGTATAGCTCGGTTCCCAGCCTTGCGTGTTGTTGCACAGATCCCAATCCACGAGTGTTTCGGCAAAGTAGCGCTCACCGCGGCGGTAGTTGATCAGGAGGTTGCAGTATAGGTAGGACGAGACATTCATGCGGAGACGGTTGTGCATGTAGGCTTCGTGGTTGAGCTGGCGCATTCCAGCATCGATGAAGGGGACGCCTGTCTTGCCCTCATACCATTTCTTCCACCCATCTTCATCGTCTTCCCATTGTACGAAGTCGAATTTGAGATTCTGCGGCAGATTCATACTATTGTGCGGTATCACAACCATCATCTGTCTGTATAGCTCTCGGAAGACGATCTCGCGAACCCAAGAATAGACACCTGGGCTGGCTCCCTTTTCGCTGAAGTCGGCGCTATTGCTGTTGTAGGAGCGGAGGGCGGAAAGGGCTTCCCGGACGCTGACGGTACCAGAGGAGAAGTAAGCGGACATGCGAGAGGAGGAGTCTTTGGAGGGGTCGCTGCGAGTTTTCGCATAATTTTCGATTTGCTTGTGGATGAAGTGGTTTAGACGGTCAATGCCTGCGGCGTGGCCGGCTGGCCAAAGTTTTCGAATTCTTTTCTTTGTCTCATCCGAGTCGAATTGCTTATTCTCGGGTACTGGTGGAACATCATGCGAGGCACCTTTGACGTCTGGCATCGAAGCGTTCCTTTCGGGACCGGGTACAGTGTCGAGTAGCTCTGGAGACTCTTTGACCAATCCAAGCCAGATGCGATGATAGGGCGAGAAGACCTTCATGGGCCCTCCACTGCCCGTCTTCACTTCTCCCGGTACCACAACGGTTTGGTCGTGATATAGCGAGAACTGGACACTGTTCCCTATGTCCTTGAACGCCTTGATGTCTCTTCGAAGCTCATCCACCTCGTATTCAAAATTCGCAAAGACATGTGAGGCATCATTCTTTTTGAGGAAGTTGACAATGGTAGGTACGATCTCTTTGCGCCCTTCGGCGGTCGCGAAGACGAGGGGTATGTGGAGTTCTTTCAGCTCTGCTTGCATCAGTCCAAGTGTCTGGAGGATGAGGTCGCTCCTTGCAGGACTTGTTCCATGCCATTGGAACTCCTCGGCGCAATAAACGTAAACGCAGACGAGGGGCTTCGATTTCTGCTTGGCCAGCAAGGAAGCATTGTGGAGAGCTTTGTTGTCGTGGATGCGTAAATCTTTGCTCCTAAACCAGTGGATGACATTCTCCACATGGTCAATTGAATCCTGGGAGTCAAGATGTCGGAGAAGCTCGTTGAAGGGTGTATCCGCATCGATCTGCTTGGCGCGTTTCGTAGAGGGATGCTGCAGCTCTGGGTGCTCTTCGGCTTCGTGCTTGACCATGTTTGATCAATCGATGGATGCTAGCAATTTGATCGTATATCCTTCGTCGGTTATATAAAGTAGGAAGGAAATCGGTGAGAGCGTAGAATGAGCGAAGATGCAACGCGAAGCAGGGGCGCGTTTGGCATGGAAAATGATGCAGATCTAGGAATGATGACATCACCAGACGTCTGCTAGAGTACCCAGATCTCAGACGCGCTAGCTCAGCCCTATTCTGTAGATGCGACAGAATTCCACTTATTGACATTTACCCCACAATAGGTAATGTACATGTATTTCAACTGAGTGACGATGGAATGTCATCCTGGACAGCGAGCTCAAGTTTGTGTGTCTGCAATATATACACCATGAAAACGCAACTTATCCATCATGCCTCGGAAGTGCGGCCGTCTCCGACTAGAGTACGAGTACCTTGAATTTCGCCATATAAACTCTTCAGAAGGTTTCTTGCATTTGTAATTCCATCACCTCATAACAGGACAGGTTTGTTGTCGCATCATCCCATCTTGCTTCTCCACAACACAGCGACCCTCTCTGCTATCCAGCGACATTTCTCATCATTATGCTTAGACCAGTGGTCTTGTGCGGATGACAGACACTTTCGCATTTTCATGGTCATGCCAGGCTTTCCAACCACCTGTCCAGTCTCGACGCACCCTCATCAAACCAGGTAGAGCATTCTGGTGGCGTCTCGGAAGCTCGGACTATTGTTTTCGGGCCTCACCCGCAGATCTCGTGGAGGACGTGCTTCTCTGTTGAGAAAGCGCAGTCGTAGCGCGCGATGGATGGTGACTAACACTCATCGACCTTGTAGGGTTTTCAAGGATATGGAATACTGCATAGATGTTCTCTGAAAATTGGGAAATGTTGACAGGTTTGACTTGTTTGCCAACCGCCATTTCACGTTTCATTATCACCGACGAAGAGCCCTGTCATAGGCTAGTCTCAACGATTTCGATCGTCCGTAGTAGGCTCAAGACCTTAGACTATAGGGTCTACTCGTTGCGTGGTCGCTGTTGCCATCGTGATCTAGACTGGTACCCTATTCCCTGCTTGTACATGCTCTTCCCCTTTGGTGGCTGGTGTCTGACTTGCTGGTATTCTTGCTTACAGAAATATCATTTGTCCCCTATCGAGGAGTGTCACACTCTAGTCAGCGACCACTAATACATCCGCATCAGTCTTTACAAGAAGTCCCATATATTCGATATACTCGTACGTGGCCGCTCCGTTCAATGGGTTTCAGCAATAGTGGGATTTGTGCCCCTTTTGAGTATAAACGTGACCATTCCCGACTCACCACTTTTCGCCGCCGAACACAACTCACTCACACCTTCAATTTCAACAGTTTGCTGAGGTTGGCACCAGCTTCACCCAAGATCGCCGAGGTCTGACTGTCTTTTGAGTTTAGGTTGGTACTCCAGAGCGTGCGTACGCCGCCATTCTTACAGTTTCCCTCTTCATCTTCTGAGCTGAGCAGAAACCTGACAATTAGCTCACTCCTGCGCCGAGTGACTCGAGGGAGAGGTCATTGCCCTGCATTGCCTCGTGCATCGAAATTCATGGGGAGGTTCAGGAGACGCTGTGCTATGTTTTGTCATGCGGAGAAGTTATCCTTTTTCTTTACGGTCAAGAGGCAGTTGTGGTTTCTGGATTTTATGTCATCTCCTTGATTGCCTGCAATGAATCGAACCTTATCTACGTCACCACCGTCAGTATTCAGCAGCAATGGTACTTGAGTTCTCAGTGTTAGCGATCGCTATTCGGCCGCCGTGATGCGAGCTTTCGCGGCAATGCTTTCGCCAGCAGCATTCCAGTCTCGTTCGGTGACCAGACAATCAACTCTCTGCCATGTCCATGGCGCAGGTCAAAACAGGCAACGCTGGCTACCAGGATCTCGACCGACCTCTCGTATCCCCTTTCTAGAGCAGGTGCCAGGGCCATCTTGCCATCTCCTTCGCGGCATCAATATTAGTGGTCTCTTTAGCAGCAGCGAGGCGATCTTTGCGGTCTCATTGGAGCAGCGAGATGAGGAGCTGTGACTTCAACGACTTGACTGGTTTTGAGCCGTGGTAGACGAGTCCTACGACCGACAGTGTCCCAATACACCAACGCCAATCTAAAATGGCCCCGATATTTCATTGATCTTAAACTTCGCCGCCAATGCGTCACCAACGCTGTTATAGTCGCCCATGTATCGGGCAGCGCAGCATGCAACTCTTACTGGCTTGCAAGTGAGGCGACAGTCAGGCCGCTGTTGATCTGATTCGTGGGAAAAGGCGGAGTGTTAGAATCAAAGGGATGGGCTCTAGATGCTACGATTTGGGTAAGATGTAGCAAGTTGGGAACGACCAAACGCATGCCGTATCGGCCTTTACCTATCCAGGAACCAATCGCGGTTCTCTAGACTCAATCTTCCTCCCCACTACCACACCCTTAGGAGGCATCACCGACTCGCCTCCCGCCAACCTGAACCCAACATCACAGATCCTACCATGATCGCCCGTCCTCTCCCAACCCTGCCACGCCCACCTCCTCGCGAACCCTCTCTCCACCGCATCCGTCTCCCTCGCGGCGAACTCTGCGACAAAGTCCCACGGTATCGGCTCCTTGCTGCAGCCGAACGCGAGCCTGACGTCCCCGGCTCCGACGGCTACTTGATCGAGCTCGGGCCGGGATGCCCAGGTGTTGAGGGCGTTGTCCCGGACTTGGGAGTAGAGTCGGCAGGCTGGGGCGAGGGGGTAGGATGGCGAAGAGGGCGCCGTAGCTTGTGAAGAGTATTGACCAGTGGGGGAGCGGGAGGTGTTGGCGGCTGACGGAAGGAGGGCGCGGGCTGTGGGAGGACGAGGATGACTACGGAGTTAGATTGGGAGGGTCTGAATGTAGCGGGTGTGTTGGTTGGGTTTGGTGGGTATGGGCTCGCACAAGCAAATGCACTGACGATAGCGAAAATAAGAGTGAAGTGAAAAGGGATGCGGAAATGCATGTCAGCGATGTGGATGGCATTTTGAGATCTTGGGCAAAAGAAGATGCAACATTCCTCTGCTGTGGGACAGCATACGCATTTCGTATAGACGCGGCCTTTGGCATTGCAGTGGATTTGATTCACGATGCGATACAAGCGAAGTCAGGCTCACGAACCCGGATCCGCCATGGTTGTTGCTGTGACCTAAGTTGGATTATTCCTCCTTGGCTAGTGAATACAATAGTTAGATTTCATCAACGCTTTGGGGTATCGTACTATGCTGAAGCCATGCACTTCGCCATGCAATGATGTCCCAAACTACGCAAGTCGATGTAGATTCCATCCTTACCTTTCCGTCGCTATGCTATATCATTGAATCCACAATAATGCCCTTAGGTTCCGTAATGCATGGTCATGATGTCGTATTTCGTCGTACGCCTAGTCTCTTGGGAGAGTATGCATCCCCTCAAAGGCTTTCCCTCAACCTGGGCGACGCTTCTTCTTCGAAGCTGCTCTTGTACCAGTCTCGCGGTATGATATTGCATCTCTTGATCGTAGCGTCCAAGGCAGGACATGCGGAGCCTGAGGGCCTCTCAAGTGTATATTCTTTTGCCTTCTCGTCTTCTTTGTGGTGGTCTTCGAGACCCTCGAAGTATTGATTCGCGGCCCTAGTGCGCTTTCGGTGACAAGATGCGGCCTGTCCTTTGGTATTGGATCGGTCATTTGCCTTGGTGGTCTTGTGCCAAAGGACGCTTGAGTCGAACTTGTCTCTTCCACCTCTTGTTCCTTCGCCGCTAATGTATGCTTTCGCCTGTTGGGAGCTTTGGAAATGCTATTGGGATTGTCATCGGGGGCAAGCTGCGGTAGCTTGAGATCGCTTCTTAGGGTGGTGCGACGGACTCTTTGTGACGACCTGTTGAAAGGATCTAGCGGCAGTAGGCTTGCGTTTCTTGATTCCGGCAGCAGTAGCTAGCAAGACACCATCTGATTGCGGAGGTGATGGCGACTGGATTGGGCTTAAGAATAGAGCCTGTGCGTGTCCTTTCTCTGCCTCTCCCCTTTGCTCCTGCTCAATCCGCTTCTCGTACAGTTCCTGTAACTTTTGTATCTCATCCAACCAGCTTGTTGCTTTGGAACGCCAATGCGCGGAATCGTGTCCACAGATCATGGACCCATCTGGATCTTCCCTCAGAAGCACGCGCCCGCCGTAGAAACGCTTCAAAGATTCTGCAGCCTCCTCAGCGCCCTCGGCTGCTTCTCTGTAGTCGTCAGGATCAGGGATCGACCAATGAGGGGTTCGCTGACTCTCTGGTGTTTGCCTTTCCGGGGTCACAGAGAACTGTCGATAGAAGTCTTCCCGAGGAAAAGGGTTCTTCTCAAGACCCTTGGTGACCAGTTGAACCTGACAGAACGAAGGAAAACCATTGATAGTACTGTTGGGCTGAGATATAGGTTCGTAATCAGAGTCGGACATCTGGGAGCATGGTGATCGATGTGTTGCTGATTGATTAGAAGATGCTTGCAAGATAGGGCTGAGTCTCGGTTTGCTTCGGCTTCGGATATGAGTAATGACTACTCGTATTCACTAAGATTTGAGATTTGTTCTTTACAATTTATCGTTCCACAACATTGTAATTAAAAACCCGAAAAAAACCCTTAGAGAGCATAAAATGCGATTTTGTTTATAATCGGGGTAACACTGTTAATATTTACATGATAGTGTAATAAATCTCGACGGCTGTATTCTAATACACTATTATATAACTTTATCGACTTAAGCCTAATTGTAATAACTCATAAATTTTGAGAAATTATATTTTACGCTCTCTTAATTCCTTTTTCTACTTTTTAATAATATAGTTGTGGAGTGATAAATTATAAGGATTAGACTTTGAAGATTGCAAATCTACTTTAGTGAATAAAGTACGAGTCGGCGACGTCTGGCTACTAGGACGATTCGCCTTAACGCTTTCTACTTCCAACAAAGACCTGGATCTGTAATGTCAGAGTACCTTAATGAAAGCGAAGAGCGATATAAATACCATTGAGCCTACATTGAACCGCAAATGACCACTGGGTGACCACCAAGTATTCACTCAAAGAAATGGTATCACAGGAGAGCCTGGCATTTGCCTGTACCCAGACGCAATGGTAATTGGTTCTATCCTACCCGATGATCCTCAACCTAACAATCATGCCCGGATCCCATTTGTTCAAATATGTGTTCTCGTTCTTCCCGTTTATTCTATCTTATTAGTTTCGCTTCGGGGCTAGTGTATAAATATGCGCAGGGTCGGTTACCCTATTGGTGTTGTCTTGTGTCACAAGTTGTTATATCACCCTTACTCCTTCTCCCTTCTCCCTTCTCCCTTCTTCCTTCTTCCTCCCTTCTAACTTCTCCATTTTCTACATCTTGACATTCTCCTCCATCAGCATTGTACAATGACGCTCACTAACCTGGAGTCACTCATCGCTATCGTCACACCCAAGGATAGACGCGCCGAAGAAGCCTTCGGCTATCCAGAGAACGCCAGTCGCCGCTGGACAGATCATGTCCTCACCGACCACAGAGATACTGAACTACTGATCACCAGACGAGCTAGCAAAGCAGCAGCAGCATGGCCTACACCCGCTGTCCACCTACACTTGCATCTCACCCTCAGACCCAAGAACTTGCTGAAGGGATTCATATTTGGCACCGATGAAAATACCTGCGATGTTCTCTTACAAAGATCAAGGGCCAGCGGTATTAGCGGTAATCATTTCTCGATTCAAATCGATTGGGATTCCGGCAGCCCAATGCTTTCCTGTCTGTCAGAGAGGGGTATTAGGCTCAAGGAAGAGAGCACTGGAAAATATGTGCGCACTCTGTTCCGAGATGACGGGGAGACCGTTCCGTCGGGCGCCACTCTCCTTGTCGAAGTCATCGACCGTTTCGAGTTGACCATATGTTGTCCAGAAAGAGGAAGACTACAACCTGTGTATAATGAGAACCTCCAGGACTATTATCGAAAATACAAAGATGCCGTGCCTGACGTGAGCAATATGTTTCTCGATCGACCGGACATGACACCATTCATCTTGCACCGTTGCATAGGCTTGAACGGAGGAGAGTACTACACAACCCAGAGAATGATAACAGGTGATGCTGAGTACGACGAGAAGGTCTTCCTTTACCATGCCAAGATCAGGCCAGCGGCTGACGAGATTGGGAGAATTTCCGGCCCAGAGCCGGAGCCCATCTCACAAGCAAGTGGGAAGCAAGCAGAAAGACGCCCTATACGACCAAATACGACCCGGTCACAAAACAATGTTGAGGGGTCCAACACTGCGATAGAACCGTTTCTCGACAACGCGAAGAGCCAAGTTTGTATAGTGAAACACTTTCGAGACAAGCAAGGCGTCTGCAGCGTAACCCCGTTGAAGGCACAGAGATGGAATCGGCTACAACACGTAAGCTCCCATCCACGTCAAGTAAAATTCCTCGACACTTACATGCATAGTTGAACATCCTAAGAGTCTTCGATATCATCTTAGAGGGGACAGCATTCTTGGTCGTCAACGAATATTTCCTTCATATCACGTTGGATTCAATACTACGAGATGCCGCTACGCTGAGCTTGGAAGAGTCTGGATTTATCATAGGGCAAATGCTTGATGGCCTGAACTATTTGCATGAGCAGGGGTGGGTCCACGGAAACGTCGATCCACGCAGTATATTGGTAGTGACGAGATATCCCCTGCTCATCAAGCTGGCAGATACTGCCCTCTCCGCAATGGCGAACCTTGGAAAACCGGAAGGGTACCATGACCTCTATGCTTCTCAAAGAATTTCAGCAGAGTTCGACCAATATCCCAGTGATATCTGGTCCGCTGGCGTTGTGGGACTACACCTTGTCCACGGCAGACTCCCAGAGCGCGCCACCTACACTTTGTCTAGCCGTGCACAATATGTTCAGCAGTTGGTGATCTACATCACAGCTCGGAGCCGGCAACAGCTCCTTAATGATGGGCTACGCTTCCTCAAGACGGTAATGAAGGCTAGAATCAAGGACCGGCCAACAGCAAAAGACCTGCTCAAAGATCCATGGATCCAGAAGACAAGGCACTACCAAGCCCTTCAATCACGAGTAACGCGGCTCGCCACTCCCCAAGGATTGCGTCACACAAGTGCGGGACCGTCTAATTCTTTCAATAGACAAAGCGCTGCCGGCCCTTCGAATCATTCAATTGTCGGGGAATATGCACCAGGATCCCACTACAGGAGCGTGGGCCCATCCTACAACGTTGATAGGCAAGGCTCCGTCAATCCTTCGAAGCCTATCGACTGTGAGGAATACGTCCCAGGATCCCGCCATACAAGCGTGGGACCTTCCGGCAAAGGACCGTCCACCAATCTCAGCAGGCAGAGTTCAACCGACCCGACCATTCGAGCTTTACTGGAGTCGCGTCCCTACCCAGGAGACGATTACAACGACTTCGAAAGCGAGAATCGAAGCACAACATCACGAAACAGCCGCTTTACTGCCAACTCGCTCGCTCGATTGGCCCGTGCGCCCACACCATCCGAATCTGACGACAATAAGAGTGCGCCAGTGGGACAACGCTCCTTGCGCTCGCAATCTCGCAGCAACGGAGGCAGATCTCCAGCCATCCAAAGCGAACACGCATCAACAGCATCACAAAGCAGCCGCTTCACTGCCAATCCGCTTGCTCGAGAGCCCCATCTCACGCGTATACCATATGACTCTGAAGACGAGTCAGGCATGCCAGGCTCCTTGCGCTCGCAGCCTCGCAATAGTGGACGTAGATCCCCGGCCGAACATAACAAACATGGTGGGCCGGGCCCCTTGCGCTCCCAACCTCGCAGTGGTCGGGGGAAATCCCCACTGAGTGACTGGGCAACGGGCACATTTGGACGAGTAGAGGGTCAGGGAGAGGCCGTGATCGAAGAGGATAGTGGCGAGGAAACAGCGACGGATGAGCGCCGTGGGCGGGTTACAAAGAAGCCGCGCAGGGATGCAGTCGTCCCTCCGCTGGAGAGGAACCTGAGGTGGCGCGGAAATGGCAGGCGTTGAGAGCCAGCGAGTGTCTTTGTAGTAGAGTAAAGGGCTGCAGATAGGAGAAGTGGATAGCAATTTGAGCAGGATTAGGTAGATATCAATGGCGTCTAGCCCATCAGTGCTCCATCTCCTACACCGTGAAGCCATCATTGTAACCCCGCCGCCATCCTGTTTCCCCCACCATCAACCTACGCAACCTCCTTCTTCCTATACAACTTCCTAGCCAATACTGTGGCAGGTGTATTAGCTGAGTTTGGTGTGTATGGATTTACGTACGCAAGTGCGCTGACGATGGCAAAAAAAGGACATGGAGAATGAAAGGGAGATGCATGGCAGCGAGGTGAATGGCATTCTGAGATAGGCAACAGAGAAACGAGACATTCCGTTGCGATGGAACAGCGAGCGAAAACATTCACACCTGTTATTTGCGCTTGTTATGGACACGCCTTGCTGGCGGATTTATTCCCATGACACGACGCAATCAAGATGCTCGTAGTGCTGTTGATCTACTTACCTACTTTGTCAGTGCTTGATGATGCTTACATAGCTAGTGAAGATGACGGAGGAGTAACAGCCGTGCCCTTGGGTATCATCCTTTGTCCTTGCCATGCAGCCAGTATTCGCCAGTCCCGAATTTGCTCGGACCACTTACATATATGAAGCTCTCTACATGCCATAAATCCGTCGCTATGCTATACCATCATGTTTTCGTAGATGTCCATTAGAGTTCATTGTCATGGATCATACACTTCGGCCGTGCGCTCATTTTCTACGAAGTCGGGACTTTCTTTGGAAGGGTTTCTTCTTGTCTTGGCAACGTCTGTTCTCGGTAGTTACCGTCGTGTCGGTCTCGCGATATGATGTTAAACTTCTTGATCGTAACTTCCACGGCAACGTGTGCTGAGCCAACGGAGCCTTTGGTGACAGGACATTTCGTTTCGGTCCCTCCATTGCCTTGGTTCTGGAAATCTTTGACAATTTCCTTTCTGGGGCTTTTGTGCTCTTGGTGGTAGGTGCAGGCTCCTGCTTCGGTTGGAGTGTTGCTAAATTCATCTCCGCTGCCTTGTTGTACGGCTGGTTTGATCCAAACCCTCCTCCTCGTGGCCTTCAACTTCGGTACGTGTACGCTTCTGGCCCTTTGTAAGGGTGGAAAGGTAGTCGGATTCGTGTTCAGGTGTGGGTTGTAACGGCCTTTGCGATGGTCCTGCCTGGACATCCGACGGACGTGTACTGATCTCAGGCGACTCATCACTAATGGCAGTGTTTGTCTTCGGATTTTGTGCGACGCCCGGAACGCTACCGTTCGAGGGTGGTGGAGACAGCGATTGCAGTGGGCTCGAAAGCATTGCTAGGGCATTTACCTTCCTCTGCTTCTCCCTCCAACTCCTGCTTCTTCCTTTTGCCCAATTCTTTCACAAGTATCCACATCTTCCCTTGCCAGTGTTTGTTGGCTTGTGATGACCAGTAGTCTGGGCCTTCCTCAAGGACTCCATGTTGCTCTGTTTCCCATTTCCTAAGCATGACCCGTCCAGCGTAGAATTGTTTAAGAGTAAAGACGTTCTACCGCCTTTCTTTCATAATGCGGACCTCATTGCAAGCGATATCAATCTTTCGAGCCTAGCTCAGGCCGCCCATCTCGACCTGAATCATGCATCTTTCCGCGATAGATTGGGTCAACAATTAGTCTGAGACCGGACCGAGGATACCAACCTGACCGAAGCTGCAATGGTAAGCCGTGCCGACCAGTCAGTGCCCCGATCGACCGGGTATGGTACTGTATCCCAGCCTGATGCAAGACGGCGGATTGCTCTTACGCAGTCACAACTGTCGGGCCAATATCCATAGATGGAAAGGCTGCGGTTAGCGCCCCTTGTGACACTTCCAGCACGAGATTGCTTGCGATAACACGACCGAGCTTTGACCGTGGGAGTTTGCCGCGGGGGAGAGCATTTGAGGAATGTCAGGCACGGGAGGCGTATGTAAAGGTGGTATGGCAGGAGCTGGAATCTCAGCTCTAGGCTCTGTCTGCGTTGATGCCCGAACCACTTATCAATTTGACGTTGGAGCTATTGAGTTAATCCACGAGCGATCTACAATATAGAAGAGAGGGTCTTGGAAATGTTTGCGCTGTTTTATCTGACCGGACGCCGATGTTGGATGGCGAGTGTGTCCCTTTCCTGGCGACTCAGTTCGCAGAGGACTTGTAGTCCTCACCGGAATGCGGGACATTGGTTTTCTAGAGCGGAGCAATGGTCCCTACCTGAGCTTTTAATGTCTGGGGTTGACCGTCGTCATTCGAAGAGCAGCGCAACGCTCGCCATGCTCATGATGCGTCGTGGCCTTCACCCCATGGTCTCAGCTTTTCAGCTTCAAGCCCTGCAAAGTCTCCGCTGCAAATTCGATAAGGGCGTTTCAAGGACGACCCAACGCTATTCGGCAACGTGTGTCGAGCATCTGGTCCACCACTGCCCAATTGAAAGCCTTACATATTAACGAGGAAGCGATAAACCCCTTATCGCCTTGGCGTTTAGGCATGAATAGCTCGTACACTGTGGATTACTTATATTCCCCGTTTAGGTCTGCTCCAGAGCTCCTGAATCGGAGGTTAAGCTGACAAATCTAGGAACGAATACGTTATCATCGTTCATTCTAAGATCTGGCAAATCGCTATCCCAGCGGAAGTCCAGCTTTTCGTGGGATGCAGGAGGATTATGTAAGATAACATGATGAGGAAACGGTTACAGGTGCTTCAGGCATGATCGTGTGATCACAGCAAAGAACTTTTGGACTGCATGCAATTGCGCGATGGCTTTACATGCCCACCGAAACTGACTTGGCCGATGCTCGTTGGCGCTGTGACAACCCGCCACGAAGACAACGGCGGTCTCCATTGCATCATATTCTGTTTGTCTGCTGCTGGCGCTGGCAATGGCATAGGAGGTTCTACCGTTTCGTACTTTGGCAGGGGAATCCTCAGCGTGTTGAATCCTAGCTGTCTTAAATCAGAGTAAGTGCATGGAGGAAGCGTAGACCAGGTCCGAAGACCGGCGAAGGGAATGGGGACACTCGTCAAACACAAGAAAAGGACCGCTGGAAGGTATGGGATTGAAGATGGGAAGACAGAAAGGGCCCCTGCATCGCGTATTGAATCACGAGCATGTCCGCGACTCGGAGCTAACGGCTGATAGACATGAAAATGTAACGTTGGCATGGCGTTGCGCTGCGCTAGTCATCATGGACGACAATCTATCAGGGTCATGGTTCCAACATCGGGCAAGCAGGGCCTCCCTGAGGATGCGGAAAGCATTACGGTATACTATAAGACCAATTGGGTGAATGATTAACGCTGCTGACGAGGCATGCATGAAAGCACCCGATCTCATACATGCAAGGGAAGGGTCGTGTGACTCGGGAAAGATGCGCACCGCTTATCAAGGCTGCAATAAACCGTGGCAGACTCCCAAATTTGAGTCTTGTGGGTTCTATGGGTGAAGAGTATTATTTCTGAGGCTGAAAATGTTTCTGATTGTTGGTCAGAGGCGTATAGACTGTTCGGAGACCACTTAATATAATCCAAGAGACTCGATTCTTCTGAACAGGATGAACCTTAAGTAAGAAGGTCTTTGCTGCAAGGAATCGTGGCAGACTGCCAATTTTGGGTCTTGTCCATTCTATGTGTGAACAAGAAGGCTCATGGAAGTTGAAAACATCTCGGGTACTATCTCTGACGGTTGGCAAGAGGCGTATCGAATGTTCGAAAACCGCTTGATGGGATCCCTGAGAATAAATTGTTCCGGGGAGCATGAAGCTAAAGCAGGATCAACATTTTGGTGCAAGCATTCTGGAAGGGCAAGAGTGCCAATTTTGGTGAGGCGGACGTGTGCGGAACATGAATGCGCCATAATAGAAAATATAGCTAATGGTGCAGCCACGTGATAAGGTAGAAGTACTGCATGCCCACGGATGACTCAAGTTGGGTAGGGGAGATGCCTCGAAGCAACTGGTTCATGAAGCTTATGGTGATGGATGGGCAGGAAATTTGTAGTTTTTTTCTATTTTCTATCCTTCATCAATCAGCAGGACTCATTGTCCATGATAGGAAAGCAAGAGCGAACGTTTAGGAGGCGTTGAGTAAGGCTGATTTTTGCTTGTCGCATGACTGAGCTAGACGTAAGTTCTATTGCCCCACATACGCTACCCGTACTCTACGGTCGTCCACTTCTTCTTTTCGCGCATTTCCCACTCTTGCGTGATTCTCTGTATATATTTCCTCATCCTCCCTTACTTTGCCCTCCAATAATCTCACCTTTCTTCATGAGCTGTCTTCGACCTCAATAATATTCTCATTTACCTCCCTCCTCAGTTACTCTGACAAGGTACCTTGAAGCCATTTCTCTACTCTGGACTAATCCTCATGTACAACCTTCATAGTCCACCCTTATCCGCTGCTTCTTCCACTTCCTCACCACCACCAGAATGCGCTGAGCGGAGGAAGCCCAACATTCTTTTCATTCTCGCCGATCAGGTCTCCGCTCCGCTCCTCCGTATCCACAATGACAAGTCTCCCATAAAGACTCCAAACATTGACGCCTTAGCAGCCAAATCAGCCGTCTTTTCTTCCGCCTACTGCGCCTCGCCACTATGTGCTCCCTCGCGCTCCTCTCTAGTCACCGGGCAACTGCCTTCTCAGATCGGTGCCTGGGACAATGCATCCCCACTGGGCTGCGACGCTCCAACATACGCCCACTACCTGCGAAGGGAGGGGTACGAGACGGTCCTGGCTGGAAAGATGCACTTCATCGGTGAACAACTACACGGCTACGAAGAGCGTCTGACAAGCGATATATACCCGGGAGACTTCGGATGGTACGTTCAATGCACATAGACGGGGGAAAGGATGGAGGCAGGCTGGTGGTTTAATCGAGCTCGAGATTTGAGCATCGACACCAGTACAAATGTTCAGCTTTCCCTTCATGACATTTGCTAACCGTTGTAGGGCCGTCAATTGGGATGACCCCGATCGTCGTCTTGAGTGGTATCACAATGAATCCTCTATACTCCAAGCTGGCTCCTGTATCCGCTCTAACCAGCTCGATTTCGATGAAGAAGTCATGTTCAAGGCCACGAGGTACCTGTACTCCACCGCTCGCCGTCCATCTGACTCGCGTCCATTCTGCCTGACTGTCTCGCTCACACACCCACATGATCCTTATACCATTCACAGGGAATATTGGGATCGGTACGAGGGTGAGGACATTCCGCCTCCTTCCGTGACAATACCTGAGGAAGAGCAGGACCCTCACAGCCAGCGCTTGTTGAATGTATGTGGGTTGAAGGATGCAAAGCTCCCAGATGAAGCTATCGCTCGTGCTCGACGAGCCTACTTCGGCGCGGTGAGCTACGTGGATGACAATGTGGGAAAGCTTCTGGAGGTGTTGAAAGAATGTGGCATGGATGAAGACACGATTGTGGTCTTCTCTTCTGATCACGGGGATATGTTGGGCGAACGAGGACTATGGTACGTGGTGATCTACTGATCGACAACAGCAGGGTCTATTCGTGCCATGTTCCCATTCACGAGGTCGACGACGTGAAAGCTAACGATCGTCTAGGTACAAGATGTCTTGGTTCGAAGCCTCTGCTCGCGTACCTCTTCTGATCTCGTACCCAAAGCACTTTGAGCCACAGACCATCACACGTAATGTTTCCGCTTTGGACATCCTTCCCACACTCGTGGATCTGGTCAACGGGTCTTTGGACAAGCGTCTCCCTATTGACGGCAGTTCCCTTGTCCCATACCTTCACGGTTTCAATGGGAAGGATGGCAATGATACCGTCTATGGAGAGTATGCGGGTGAGGGCACGATCGCCCCGCTCATGATGATCCGCCGTGGGCCCTGGAAATTTATCACCTGCCCGGTGGATCCACCCCAGTTGTTCAATCTCCTCGAAGACCCCAAGGAGCTTCATAATCTCGCAACTAGCATTGATCCAGGGGTGCAGGAAGTGTTCCACGCTTTCGCTAAAGAGGCTCACGCGCGTTGGGATTTTGATCGCATCCACGCAGAGGTGCTCAAAAGTCAACGTATGAGGCGTCTGTGCTGGGATGCACTCAAGCAAGGTCGCTTCCATAGTTGGGACTACCAGCCGCATGAAAATGCAGGGTCACAGTAAGTGCATCGCAAAATCGAAATCCGGGGTAAACCTGGGGAAATAAGATGGCTCTGCTAACACATACGATCGTAGATATATCCGCTCCAATATTCATCTCGACGAACTAGAGCTCCGTGCACGCTATCCGCCTGTCGATCATATGGGCCGCGAGAAGAAACGAGGAGATGCCAAAGGCATCGCTGCGGCTTGGGGCGAGTAGGCCAACATGGTCAATCTTACGAGTTTCCTTTTCGCTCTGGTAGATCTTGGTCATGTCTTTGCTTTGACCTCAACGTTGCATGTCATAACAGTATCAAACTTTAGCCAGCGAGCTTGCACGCGTCCATCTGCTTTAGCCTTGATGTTTTCCTCCAATCATATCATCAGCTCTAGCGATTTAGCGTGCGTATTGCTCTACCAGCCTCACTGTTGCAGCATCAAATAGATCTATTCAGCTTAGCTTAAAATTATATTGATTAGTTCGCATGCAGTCTCTCTTAGCACAAGTGCACACACCTGCCAATCTTCGAATAATGCCGCAGCATCTGCCCTCCAGTGCATCGTCGCAAGCCTGATCGGAAAGCTTTAGTTTTGCCGGGGGAAAGATTTTTTAAAAAAAAAAAAAAAAAAAAAAAAAGGAATTTTTTTTAAAACGGTTTGTAGAAACTTGTAGCAACGCCTACTATGATACCATGCTTGTCACTGAACGCTGCCTGTCGAACAGAGGCTTCGCGCTCTCTACTGTACTACTATCGTGACACTCGAGGACGAATCACACGCTCGTGAACCTCATGATCAGCATCTAGCGATGCCCTGAACTACCCTTGTCTCATGTCCTTGATCGCTTTACTCATCATCTACCCTATTCCATCATTCGCCCATCGTCCTTCGTCCCTGATGCTCAATCCTAAGTCTCATCCAATCCAATTCACTGCATCCGTCCTTCAATCCCTTCCCCCCCCATCCAGACCCTCAACACTCGGTGCCTTTTTCAACTGCTTATTCAGCTGGCCCCTTCTATTATAAAAGTGCAGATGCTGCGCCTCCCACTTTGTCACTGAGGCGCTTACTCACGTTGTCTGATGATGGGACTCGGGTAGAGTACGTACAACGCTTCCGTGTCGGTGAAGGTATCTGCTAGGCATTGGGCATAGGCTTGGAGAGTTTTGATCGGATTGTTACTGTGAGTGTTGTGCGAGGGAGAGGGAGGGGGGGAGGATGTGCGAAACTGGATTTTGGTGGATGGTGTTCGAAAGGGGTTATTTTTTGGGGGGGAGGGGGATGCGGAGGTATTGCCGCACTGGTTGTGGGGAGTTTCGGTGGAGCGTGTTCGAAAAACTGCCTTCTAAACGCCGGTGATGGGAGAAGCAAAGCAGGCCACCGACAAACAATTGGGACCCCCGAAGCATTGGCATGCACAAAGGAGCTGCAATAATTGTTCTCTCCTTGACCAATCACGTTTGAGCACGCTGTCGCCTACTCAGCCAGCTGCCGTGTTAGGAGAAGATCTGTCGGACAGAGCCTCGTACATACCGGTATGCTGCGGCACAGCTGCACGATGAGCTTGTTTTGCAGGATTGACCACCCTATGCGCCTGGAGGGGTTTTCTCAGCCTCTTCTGACGAGTGCAGAATTCCTAGCCCACGACGAGTCCTGATTAAATTCACGGTTCTCATACCTATCATTTCTACAAAGTCTTTCACCACCAAACCATCTGCAGCTACCAGGAAAGCCGGATAGAATAAGTGGCGGTTGCAACTACCACGACTATCGATCTCGAGAGGTCTGATGCGCGGGGTATCTGCCGGATCTGTCAGCACGTCTCAGCGCTCCTGTTGCCGCATTCAGGCAATTTCATCTCAAACTTCGATGGACTCTATCGTCGTAGGCAGAAAGGATGGAGGTACAGCGCCAGATCGTTTCTGGGAAGAGGCCAGTGACATCTTCTACCAAGGCCTTGGTAAAGCCAAAAGGGCAAAACTCGATGATACCATTCACCTTGAAGATACTATTAAAAGTTTGCAGCTTACTCAGAGCAAGGTTTCAAACGAGGATGGGACCCACACTTTGCGTGTTGCAAGCAAAGATATCGATATCAAAGTTGGCGGTGTTATGAGAAGGCTAGAGCTTATGCACTAGGTCGGGGACGCTCTATGCAATTCGGACCTCAGACGGTGTCCTTGATGTGGTCAGCATTTCGAGTGATTTTCACTGTCTGTTTATCCTCGTGGCGCACCCACCGCATATTGGCAAACCAGATTCATTTTTGGGGGGTTTCTCAAAGATTCCAAAGTTTGCGCTTCTTTGTTCGATTCCGTGGGCCCCTTTTCAGACATAAACTTTGTACGTCAGGTGTATGTCAAACAGTATTCCAAGGAGAGAGTAGCAATGGATGACTCCAAAGTTGCTGGAGACCGGGTTTTGAAGCAGATACCGCCACTGTACGCCATCGTACTAAATTTCCTATCAGACTCGGAAGCTTGTATTTGATCACGGAGAATTCGGTAAGTCAGTGTTGCTCACTTCTTGAGGATGACTCACCGTACCTGACAATTAGGTCGGACATTGATCGGAGTATTTGGTGGCGAGTTTGAGGAGTTCAAGAAGATCGTGGACGATGCTAGAGGAAAGCGAGATGCATTGAAAGGGACGGCATATGTTGCTTTGAAAACAGCCGCTATTGGTATATTGGAAGGTGACTCCGAAGTTCTCGAGGATGTCCATGAAGTCATCAATGCCATCACGATTCCAGATCTCAAGGTCATCCAAGCTGAGCTTTCCAAAAAGAGAGAGCACAAAGAGAAGAAGGACTTGGAGAAAGCTTTTCGAGAGCTAAAAGACTGGCTACTGGCCGGCACTTCCGCTAAAACCCAGGCGCCTGAGGCGCAGTACCTCGCGCATCTCAAACATTGACATCTCGGAACATGCAGATGGATAGTTGGGGCACGCGAATATGAGACTTGGCGTGACCAAAAACATCCGAGCCTTCGACATCTGTTTGGGGAAGGCGGCTACAGGAAATCGTACCTGGTATCAAGTATCGTCAAAGATTTGAAGCGTCATATTTCCCAACAGATTAGGTCTAAATCTCAATTGGCCTATCTCCTTTGCAAGAGTAGGGACAACGCTACCCAGTGTTGCCTAACAATAATGTTACACCCAGTGGCGCAGTTGTTCACCGCCTGCGGGGACGAAGCTAATAATGGAAATGACAGTTTGCCAGGAGAGGGCGTGAAGTATCAAACTCTCCTCGACCTCCTCAAGAACGCAAGAGACAAAGATGAAGAGTCCAGAAGGAAAGAGGGACTCGTCTCTTCTGCAAATCAACTCTGTACTTCAGCCAATGTTTCTTGATATCGCAGAGGTCATCAGCACATGGACTTTCGATGTTGTGGATGCACTTGATGAGTGCTCTGATTGGACTGCCGGATTTTGGACACTTTGGATGCGCTACCCGAGTCGGGCATTGACATACGAGTTCTAGTCTCAAGCCGTCCCGAGGACCACATTGTAAACGACTTAAGGGAGTTGCCATGTAAGAAAATTGAGGTCAGCAAGAAAAAAAACCATCCCGATATCCTTGCGTATATTGAGGACTCTCTGAAGAGCATGCCACGCTTCCGACAGCTGAACGCAGGTCCCAGGATCGCTAGGAAGTCCGATGGGATGATCAAATGCAAGCCATCTCCAATTGCGTCTTCAAGCCCTCTCACTCATCACTCGGTAGATGCGAACATGGTCATCGAAAATCTAAAGCAGTCAAAGGCTGTGAGGACTAACGTGCAACTATTAATGAAACGCCTTCCAGATGGGATGAGCGATTTCTACAAGCAGAACTTGGAAAGGCTACAGGAAGACGACCGTGAAATGCTGCTTACAGCACTGCGATGGCTGATGTGCAGCGAAGGCAACATTGGAAGTTGCTCTGGTGGCAGACGACATAGAGCGTTGCTATGAGGACTTGGGCACCGATGAAGACGACGATAAAATTGAGGAGAAGGAAAAATCTGACAACAGCTCAGCAGTCATCGGAGTATCAACAGGTATGGAGCCCCAGGAAGAGGATATCGACTACAAGGATCGAGAATCGGTAAAAAGGCTCAAAACGGTATGCCGAGATTTTTTGAAGTTTTCTTCGGCAGTCGTCGACATCCAACACAGATCTGTCCGAGACTTCATCAGCAGTGAGGAGAAATCGCTGGCTCAGGATCCCAGGATTTGCCCAGATTGCGCAGAGCGTATGAATCAAGTCTCAACCTACCAGGCTTCCCCAAAACATGGGCATCTCATCGTGGCGAAAAACTTTTTTCGAAAGCTCATGTCCCGATCGTTCCAAGACAAGTTTGTCACGATCAAAGGCTTCGAGATAGACAGGCCTGACGCCGCATCCGCACCCTCATCTGTCAACGATCTGACACACTCCTCTGTAGTAGTTTGACAAGTGAAAGTGTTGCATTGCAACACGGACCTGACATTGGCATTGAAAATCTAGCCCCAAAAGGAACTGTGAGCCTGGGCACAGAAACGACAGAGCTAGCCACACACATTGCGGCGGAAGCCGAAAAGGACAATCCTACATCGGACCTGCCGGACTTCGATTCTGACGAGGAAGAACCGCCCAGATATGAGCTTGCACAATGGCCAAGGCACTTGCGAGCTGCAGAGGAAGCCTGGCCTCCAGCTGAACGCGATACCGACCTGCAAGAACGTTGGGAAAAGCTTTACACCATCATCGAGATAATTCTGTCCCCTGGATCACGTGTTTACAGAGATTGGTCGAGGAGGTTATCCTTGTGGCGGAGCCAACCCTTTGGACCCGCTTCACGTTGCAGCTAGATTTGGTCTGCTTGGAATGATGCAGAGATACATCTCGTACGGCGCGATTGTCAATGTCCTCGATGAAGTTTTTTAAGACGCCAACAACAGCGAAGGCACCTGCTTCTGGAGTCTGTGACCGTGACCAGCGAGTCCGAGTCGCTGAAAAGCTCAAAGTCCCAAGCCCCAGCAAAGGCACTGTTCATGACAAGGACGCTTTCAAAGAGACCCTCCGGAAAGCAGTCTATGCTTCTGTTCTCTGTGCTTTTTGCCGAGGCCTCGAACTCATCGCTCGCGCATCAACGGATGAAAGTTGGAACATCAGCTTGGGGACGTGCATCAAGATCTGGCGTGCCGGTTGCATCATACGCTCAGATTACCTTGCCGATTTTCTCGAACCGATCTGATCCACTGACGCCACGATTATGACATGCAGCTCATTGACGAAGTATCCGCCGATTTGCAGAAGAATTTCCAGCCGCTGAAGGAAGTAGTGCTCAAGGGGATGAAATGGGATGCGTATATTCCTTCCGTGTCAGCTAGCCTGGAGTATCTCAAGTATTGCGGTGGGACGAAGCTAGCGACGTAGTTCATGGAAGTTCAGATGGACTTCTTCGGCGCGCACTCATTCGATCGATGGGTCGTAGAGGGCGAAGACCCGGGAAAGAAGAGTAAAGGAGCGCATCATTATGAGTGGAGACCAGCATGGCAGGCCACCCATAGTCATTGAGTCTTTCCCTATTTTCTATATGCTTCTCTAAGCTCAAAATTTTGCATTCCCTAGGATCCTCTTTATGGGTAGCGGAGTAAATAAAGCCATAACCGCGGCATCTCAAACTTCAAAGGCCTAACGATTTCTACGGCGTTTTGGTTTTTCTCTCCATCTAACACTTCTCTCCATCTAAGGTCTTTGTGTTCTCAGCTATCTCTTCTCGTCCCAGTCCACCCCTCTTCCTCATTGTGCTCCACATCCAAACAGCAGCCCAGCAAGTGAATAACAACGAGACGCCGATCTGCGAGCCCACGACCACGGCTCTCCACGTATCATTCTTCTCCCCATACCAGAGCAGCAGGCCGATTGAAAAGGCGATAAGTGACCAATCAAGCAAGACCAACGGTACCTACGCCAACGTAAGATCTATTCGAGTGGCTTCCTCGTGTCCTTCGAACCGGAAAAGAAACATCGTCGCCAGGATGATCGAGACGACGCTTGTTAAGGCCGAGCTGACCATGAAACCCTTGGCAGCACGAGATTGGGCCGATGTCGCGGGGTGGAACTCGTCGAAGGTGAGCACAGCGAGTGATAAGCTGCCTGTGACTGCAGCGACCACATTAAAGGAGGAGCAACAAAGCTCCTGGCGCGATCTAGGATTTCATCAGATACTTCTTGTATGTTATGGTTTCTCAGCTTTCGTTTCCCTCACAATCTACAGTCAACTTCAATGCCAAGGGAATTGACGCGTCACGTGTAGACGTTAGTCCAAGTTTAGACTAGCTGCAGAAAGTCGTCGCGACTTCGTCAACGACTCAACACATTCAAAAACTTTCGCACAACGCTCATGCTATATTATTGAGCTATAGAAAGTAGATATATATATTTAAAGTACTTAGTAAGGCTAGTACCTCTTTAATTAGCTTTAGAGAATATTTATATTTTTATAACTATATCGAATAAGGCTAGCTAGTCTTAATAAGATTATAATAGCTATAATTTTAAGAAGTACGCATTTATATTAAAGTTATCGATAAATATTATATTAAAAATAATAGACGAAAATTAGAAACTACTAATAGATAAAGTAATTATTACTCTTAGAGCGGCGATAGTATTTATAGAAAGAATAAATAATAAATCTAAAATTTAGATAGTCTTAGACGAAGTATATAAACTAGTTATTAATTTAAGTAACTAAGATAGTAATATAAAGAAAAAGATTATATATATTAAGTATTAGATAGCTAGTTTAAAAAGTAATATATTAATAACTAGCTATATTAGCGTACTAAGTCGATTCTTAATATTCTTCTCTACTATTAAAGAAATCTCTATTATATTATTAATAATATCGAAATAAGATTAAGTATTATATAATAAGCTAAACGAGATTATTATAAAGTTATAAAATAAGATAGTAAGTAAAGTATTAAAGGAAAAGATATCGAGCGAGATAATTACGATAGTTAATAAATATATAAAGAGTATAGATATTATAAGAAAATCTATTAAAACGACTAGGAGGCTAGCGAGTAACGATATATATATTATAATTGCAAATAAGGAGAAGGCGAATAGACTGAGAAAAAGTAAGGATTAGATTTTAAAGATAAATAATAGTGTAAGAGTAATTACTAAAATGTATAGCCTTCTACTTTATAGAGTAAGAATTAATATATTTAATATTAAAGATATAGTTATAATAATTAAAAGGGTTTAGAACGAGAATATTAATACGCTAAGTCTCGATATAGTATAACTAAGCTAATTTAACGCGAATAAAGAGGATTATAATAAGAGTTTATTAATTATCGAATTAATATCTCTAGAGAAAGAAAATAGAGTACTAAAAGAAGGTCTAGTTATCGATTTAAAATTATATAGTTATTACGTCTATAATAAGCAGTATAAATTAAAGTAATACTTCGTATACTAGAAATACAATTACCTATCGACTATATATCCTAAAAAGAATTACTTAATATATCATGAGAAATACTTAGAGAAGTATTATTATAAAGAATATACGGTCGATACTCGTAAATACTCGATTTGCGAGGAACTATATAAGATTTAAAATAAGATATATATAATAAAGAAGAGGGAGATAGCGAGAATGAGAATAACGAGATAATAGACTTTTTTACGATTTATAATAACGAAGAAGATATCGACTAGCTATTAAATAAGCGATTAATTAAATAACTACTTTTAGAATATATCTAATTATAAGCGAAATAAGAAATTTTTTTTAAGACTAATATCTACGCGCGATAGACTAGTAGATAAAGATAGAATAATTAGTAGAGGAGAAATTAGAGAGCTAGACCTCGAAAGAATTATTATATTAAATCTCTAATCGAGTAAAAGAAGATATATTTCTATATTACTAATAATGGCCTTATCTAGAAATAGATCGCTCTTTAAAGTAGTAGACGAAGTTAAACGATATAAGAATAATATAGCGATAAGGGAAATTAATAATTCCGAGAACGATAAATAGCCTCTAAGTTAAAAGAGTAATAATAAGAGAATTACAATCCTTATTAATAGAAATAAAAAGAGATATATTCGATTTATCGATAATTAAGAAAAGAAGAATACTTAGAAAGAGAATATAGACTTTATAAACTAGGTAAAGCGAGTAAATAATATTAATAATAATATTAAGAAATAATAGTATACTCTAATTAGCTATTAATACTATAATATAATATAAGAAAATCTAGAATAGTTATAATAGAACTCTTCGATAATAAAAAGATTTATAATATTAATATAGTAGTAATTTAAGAGCCTTAAAGAAATATTAATATAAATATATTATATTATCTTCTAAAGAATAGATTTAACTTAATCTACTCCTATTATAATAATATATAAATATATTTCTATATTAATAAGAGAATATTATTAAAGTAATAATATCTATTATATTATTTATTAAACCTCTATACTCTTAATATCAAGTTCGAAAATAATAGAATTATACGTATATATAATATTTATAATCTCGGCGATTAATAAATAGATAAACTTAACGAACTATATAAGACGCTTATAAAGTCTAAGAATAACGAATAGATTATATTAGGCGACTTTAACCTTTACTATATAATATAAAGAAAATTAAATACTCGTATCGATAAGAGAGTAAAAGAACTAATACTTATAGCGAAAGAATTTACTATAAAATAAGTATTATTAGTAGAAATAATAATATATAAAAAAAACTATTAAATAATAATAGATCTACTATTCGTTACTTTAGTATTAATAATAAATATTATTAATTATAATATCGAAAATAATTTTAAAAGCGAATTTAACTATCTTCTAATTTTTATAAAGTTTAAGCTAGCCGTAATAGAGTTAGTATTAATAATATATCGAAACTTTAATAAACTAAACGTCGAGGTTCTAAGAGAAATACTCGCTAGAGTTATAGTATCGAAAGAGTATCTAGTTAATTCCTCGAGAAATAATAAAAATCTTATTAATAATAATATCGATTATTAAGTAGCGACTATTATTAACTCTATTTAAGCGGCTATAGAGGAGTTTACTTTAATTATTAAATTATTATTACGATCTAAATCGAGATTTATACTAAAATATAAGAAAGTATAAAGGCGTTATAAATCGCTAAAAAGAAGTTAAAGAATAACGCTCTTAAAGAAAGTATAGAATAAGTATAAAGTCGCTAAGAACTTTAAAAATAATCTAATTAAGAGAATTATTAAAAAGATATTTAGAGAGTTTATAGTAAAAGCGTATAAGTCGTTATAAATAATATAAAAAAAGATTAAGTAGATTAGAAAATAACTTATAATATAGATATATCTCCCTTCGCTATTTAATAAAGATAAATAAGAATATAATAAATTAGGCTTAAAGGTAGATCTTCTTATAAGAACGTTCTTTCTATTATTAATATAGACGAAGTTAGATAATATTAACGTTAATACGATATATTTATAAGTCTATCTAATAGATATAATTATCGTAAATAAGATAAAAAAGACTATAATATAAGTATCGTTAAAGAGAGCCTTAAGAGAAGATACGATTCTTAATCTAATTCTTAAAAAGATTCTAAAGTTATTACTCTCTTATCTATATAGAATATTTAATATATATATAACGAATAACTACTATCTAAAGCACTTTAGAATATTAATAATAATTATCCTTTCGAAGTCGGGTAAGGATTATTTAATTTCTAAAGAATACTAACTAATAGCTCTACTTAATATTATAGAAAAGATAATAAAGTTTATTCTTATTAGAAGAATAGTATATCTTATAAAGATATATAAACTTCTATCGGCTATATATATAAAAAGCCATAGATTACAATTATATAAATACGATATTTATTATCTTCTAGAAAGAATATATTAAGCTTAGAACTCTAATAAAATAGTTATAATATTACTACTAGACGTTTCAGATATATATAATAAAATCTCTTATCCTCGACTACTCTATAATCTTTAAAAATAAAAAATCGATATAAGAGTAGTTAATTAAATAGAATTATTCTTATTTAATAGAATAATAGTATTAAAAATAAGCGAATACTCTATACTAAAGACTTCTATAATAACCGAAATTTCTTAAGAATTATCGCTATCGCCTATACTTTATCTCTTCTATAATTTAGATCTTATCGATAAATATAATAATTACGTCGATTTAGAAATAATAGCTATCGACTTTATAGATAATATAAACCTTTTAATAGTAGAAGACTTTATTAAGAAAAACTATAACGCTCTTTATAAAATCTATAACGAAGTTTATATAAAGTAGGCGTTACGATATAAATCGAAGTTTGATTTTAATAAATATTAACTACTATATCTTAATAGAAAATAGAGATTTAACTTAGACTATTCTCTATAATTTAATAAGAGATAATATATTAAGACGAGACGCTTTATCCGCTATCTAGAAGTCGAAATTAACTTTAAACTTCTATAAAGCTATTATAATAAGAAAATTTAATCTAAGACTACTAAAAGTATTAATATATTAGCGAGAATTATCGAATTAATATAGAGTAATAATTATAAAAATATAAGATAGCTCTATTAGACGGTAATTATCTTATAAATAATATATTATTACTTAGTATAATATGTTACGAGCGTACCCTTGACACACCACTCAGCCCTATGGCCTAGTGGCTTGGCGGAGGCATCTCCTACTATATCATGCCTCCTTCCCACCTACATAGTTCGGTAGCCTTATTATCCTTGATCTACCTCACCCATACTGGTATCGCACCTATGCTGGTCCTGACATTATAATAAGGCTCATTTTCTTCAATTCTACCGAAGGACTATGGCAACAAGGCTGGACTGGAGAAGAACTTGGGGAATCTTGCTGGCACGCAGGCAAGATATGGCCAATATCTCCAGGATCTCTGCAGGACAATACCACTACACCTCTGCAAATCGTCTCCGGTCGAGGCCTACACGGACTATGGATGTTTGGAGACACAGGGCAATCGATGGGCGTGCATCTCCGGTCTACCAGCCATGGGGGCCATGGCTATTGAGAGGGGGGGTAGTGTTACGAGCGTACCCTTGACACACCACTCAGCCCTATGGCTAGCGGGCCTTGGCGGAGGCATCCCCTACCATATCATGCCTCCTTCCCACATACATAGTTCGGTAGCCTTATTATCCTCGTTCTACCTCACCCATACTGGTATCGCACCTATGCTGGTCTTGACATAATACTAGTTTAAAGATACTATCAGCTATAATAAAACTTATCTCTTATTACTATAAAGAATTTAATCTTAGATAAAAAGAAAGATAACTAGAGTATTTAAGATTATATCTATTTTAGTACTTAATATAGAAGTATATCTTCTATTAATTAAATAATAGCTAAATAAGATTATCTTAAAAGTTATCTTATAAATTACTATTAGTCTAATATATAGCGAGATTATTAAGTTATAATTCGAGCGATAGAAGTTTAAAAGAAAACTTAAGAAGAATAGGAAACTAAGTCTATTAAAGCGATATATTAATAGATTTAAAGAATAATATAACGATATTAATAAGATTAAGAAACTACGCTTTTTTAGCGTCGCCTTCGACTAAGAGTCTTTTAAAATAATAATTTATAAGATTAAAAAAGCTGTTAAAGAACTAGCTAAAAGATCGATTAATAAAAGTTATATAATAATATATATAGACGATAATAGAATTAATAAAAAGATAAGAGCTTTAGCTATATCGTTAGATATTAATTCTACTTTTAATATCTATTTAAGCTTAAGCGATTAATATATAATATACTTAGCGAAGTTATATAATATTCTTTAAGCTCTAACTATAGTAGTTATATATTAAATAAAATTATAATTTAGTAGAGTTATAGTAAATATAGATAATTAAATATCGATTTAAATTATCGAAGACTTAAGTAAATATTTAAAATAGATTTATATAATATAAATAGTATAGATTATTAATTCGCTAAGATATCTCGAAATAATAATAGAATTATATTAGATTTCGATATATATTAATATTAACGATAATAAATAGATAGATAGAGAGGCGAAGAAGATTACTAGCTAGCGAGAGCGAGTAATTTATAATAAAAGAGTAAAGATAAATACTAATAAAATAGTCTAATTATTAATTATATAAATAAGAATAATATCGACGATTAAGATAGCTATTAGAGACTACGCGATAAAATAATAGACTATTAAATAGGCTAATAAGAAGCGAGGCGGTATTCTTAAAAGAATTTAATTAATACTATCGAAATAAATATAACTTTTATATTTAAGAGTTAAGCGCGCTAAGATATCGCTAATAATATAAATAAGAATTAAGAAAATAGGTCTTAAGGTTTTTCTTTATAATCGATAAATATCGAATATAGAGGATAAAGAATACGAGTATAGAGCGAAGTAGACGGCTCGGTATATTCTTTACGAATATAGACTATTTAGTAAAAAGCGAGGAATATAATAAATCGAAGAAAGAAGGAAGGTAAAGAGAGAGAGTTATTACTTATAAGGATATACTAATAAAACCACGTTACGCCCCTATAAAAGGGAACTTTTTAAAAAAAAAAAAAATTTTTAAAAAAAAAAAAAAATTTAAAAAAAAAAAAAAAAAAAAAATTAAAAAAAAAAAAAAAAAAAAAAAAAAAAAAAAAAAAAAAAAAGTTAAAAAATAAAAAAAAAATAAATTTTTTAATAAAAAAAAAAAAAATAAAAAATAAAAAAAAAAAATAAAATAAAATAAATTAATTTAAAAAAAAAAAAAAAATAAAAAAAAAAAAAAAAAAAAAAAAAAAAAAAACAAAAACCAGCCAAAAAAAAAAAATTAAAAAAAAAAAAAAAAAAAAAAAAAAAAAAAAAAAAAAAAAAAAACCAAAAAAAACAGTCCAGCGATATAAAGCCTCTTTGTCGAAACAAGCAACAGCGACTCTCTAAGGTCTTGAGTTGCTGAGAGTAAGGCTTAGGAAAATGGCGGGAAACAAGAGACGCCGAACCAGTGGAGGCTTCCACACCACGAGAGGCGATCTCCTCAGTACTGTGTCCCCATCCTCCGCCTCGCAACCAACTTTCCTCAGCACTTTTGATCGCGCATCGCGCTACCCAATCTTCCACAATCTCTGTGATTGCCTCACAATCGCTGAGATCGTCGCGTTGACTCAGACATGCAAGAAGTTCTCTGGCTTGTATCAGTATCTCCTTTCATCTCAGTGGGATGTGGATCAAGCACTTCGCCGCTATGTTGAAGATCCCCAAGGCTTCAGATCTCAGATGGCTAGATACGACGCGCTTATATCTGGAAACTTCGCAGTTCAGTACTTTGAGAGAAACATTTGGAGCTGTAAGCGTCTAGTCGTGTATATTTTGCAAGGCCGTGGATCTCAGCTGTTCAGCAAATACCTCTCAACCATAGCAGGTTATTCGGAAGAGAAGCTCAAAGAATATGGCCCGGACCGTCCTGCAATGGAGGTAGGAATTTCTGCGATGACCATTATATTGGGCTCTTTGCTAAAAGATTTACGATCGCAGACCCGTACCTTCAAGAAAGATGCCGACAGAAAGTTTGAGATCCGTTTGCATTCAACAACATGCCTACCTGCTCAGTACATACTTGAAATCAGCAGTTCTACTGCAGTTGTCAATATTCTAAGCTGGAACAAAGCCTACTCTGTATTCCCGCTGCCGACATTCATTCAGCACAAGTCCTATTTGCTGCATGACTTGGACAAGTCCGCTAGACAATCGGCACGAAAATACTCCCAAAGAGGATGGGATGTTCAGGGAGTGATGTGGCCCGAGGAGAAACGCCGTAATCATCCCATCCGGGAGCGAAGACGCGTTGGCGACCGTTATACGTGGACGATTCCTTTTGACACGAGGAAAGTAGAGTGGTCAAAAACGCCCGACTACGTCCTTGAGCATGCTTGCTTCGAGATGGACCTGTCCATGAACTATGATAACGAGGAATTTCAATATCGTAACCAGAGTGTCCGGTATTATGTTATCGAAGCCAACGTACTAGAATCTAAGGTCCTAAAGCACACTTATGTTTACGGTGGCGTCGACATGATAGACTTCTTCTTTCCTCGACTCCATTCCTTCATTATCTCAGAAATCTACAAACTTGATCCTGCACAGAGGCCCACCAATTACAAACAGATGCTGGAATATCCTGGCAACATCGATGGCGCCCTTGGTGATTTCGATCAACCGGCTAGTTGGACATATCGAGACGACGAATTTCCAAAATGGTACAAGGCTTTTGAGCAGTACCAGCCTGAGTGAAGTCATCTCAGAGAGAGGAGCCACAAGGAGATGGATGAGCGAGATAGAAGAATATATGGGTCTGGTTGGTGGAAATGTTCGGCTCTGGCCTTACACGACAGCAAAGGCTTTGTGGCGACGGTCACGACTCACTGGGGAAGAAATTGGACAAAGTCCCGGCACACGGGAAGTAGCACTCGACTTTCTCCACTTTACCGGCTCCGCGTCGAGTGATAAGACTGCTCATTAACATGGGGGAAATACCAACCTCACAGTGCAAGGGGCAGTGTTTAGGGCAGGTGCGATCGCAGCTATATGTGTCCTCCCAGTGCTAGAATCTTTATACCAGTATTGCAATGCCAAGTCCCAAGATCTTCCTTTCTGCGCCCGGCTCTTCTCTTCTCATCTATGCTTCCATTCTCAAGGTACACTTCAACATTCGATCGATGCAACCCGTATGAAGACGGGAGCCTTGGGACTTTCTGTATTCCCAATGTTCGCAACACGTGCCAAGGCATCATGCCAATACAAGGTTACAGACGTGACGGCAGTCTTTGTTAAACTTTTGACCACAGCAGTAATAACTAGGACGTTTCTACGTTTTTGGGGGTCCTTTCTGAGACAGTATCTGTCATGCAGGACAAGTACTTTCGGCTCAATGCCTTGATCTTTCGCCTGCTTCGCCAGGACTAGCCGGCTCCTGAACTTTTCGCTTGACGACTCATTAGGACTTTCCGGCCGTTCAGGCCAGCTATCAGAAACAACAACAGTCTGAGACGCTGAATCAATGTACACTCTCACGTCGATCTCGAGCATCAGCCCAGTACAAGATGTCTCTTATCATCCAATTCGTCACTCATAGGCACCAGTCCATAATTCGAACCAACACTCAACAGGGATGAAGGGCGGAGTAATCTTCTTCGTCGATGCTGCTGGTGTCGGAATGGTGAACAGATATTCTATTTCGACTGTCGCCATTTGCAACGTAATGCGCTGAATGAGATCAACGTCCCGTCCGCCAGGCGATGGTCGCGAAGCCGAGACGGTGGTTATCACGCACCGATGTGCTTTATCCGAGGCCGTACTTAATCAAGTATAGCGTCCTCTCGGCACGCAAATGGCCCAAAAATAACGTGTCGGCGAAGCCGACACAAAGGCATTTTCTTGCATGCAATTCCTTAAATTCGATAAGTCGGAACCTTTGTGGTAGGGTTCGATTCCTTTGACTAGCTGCCTTGTTGGCCCAATTCCCCGCGCGGCTTACAGCTCGGCAGGGGTAGAAAAGGGTTCGTGGAAGTGGGTGGGTATATCCTGAGTACATGCGGTCTATCGGAAGTAGACGGACACGCTCCGCCTATGCACCGACCTCATCAAGGGTTGGAACTAAGATCAAGTAAATACTGGAATTTAGAGTACTCTGAGACCTGCCACGCTGCTTCACATAGATGTACTCGTTGGTTCCATCAGTCTCCGGACACCTCGAAATATCACTTCGATACGCAGGACAATATCTCACGAATGAAAAGACTTATCAAGAAACTTAATACTATGAACTTATAGTCAACCTTCAATATAAAGATTTCATATCCCAACTGAATTTTGTTAGAAGCTCTTGTTGATGTGTTGCGGTTGTGTCCGGAGACTAACGGCACCAACCCTCTGCGCCTAATCTCTCATCCGTCCGGCGGCCTCCTGGGGGGCGACTGCGCCAAGCTGCTTCTAACCTCCCTAAATTTCAGCAGATGCTCAGTAAAAACAACAGATTTGATCGACACACGGCTACGCTCCAGCGTAGAGTATGTAATGACCTCATTGAGGAAACCATTCCCGGAAACCTCCTATTTGCATGCTCAGTAAAACGCTCCAGCGTAGAGTATGTAATGACCTCATTGGGGACTCGGATCCGCTCGGGAATATGCAAGAATCCTACTACCCCCGCCGAGCTGTAAGTCCTCTTCCCCGCACTACGCACGTGTAATTGATTTCGCGGTTTATCTAAGCACCGAGGTGAGGTATTTTCGAGATTGTGGAGAATGTCAACGGTCAAGATGCAGTATCTATTCAGAATTCACTCACTCATCGTCTCTTGCATGCTGTGCTCTCAAGTGTTCCGAAGCCGTTTGTGACATTCAAGCACTCTCGCCGCCGACCGAGATGATGGGGAAATGGCGCACGGCGACGATGTGAGACATAAAAAAAGAAAGAAGAAACAGGCTAGCCTTTGTTTTTCTTTTGCTTGGAGTTGCTGCAAGGCTCCGCCCGCGGGTATCCGGGCCAGCATCCGTGTATATATACACACAGACGGAACTGCTTCTTGTCTTTTCTTGTGCAGATAGACAGCTTCGAGAACAGTAACACAAGCAACACACCACGGATCAGCCGAACTCGTTTTTAGCATTCCACATTGACGCAAACGCAAAGGACTTCCACCTCCAGGACCACTAAAGCAGATACTACAACAGCTTCGACCTCCGAGACTAACGACACCGATTCTATACAATGGCGTCAACCACCAACGCTCCTACGACTGAATCGTCCAAGCCAAAGGCCTTCAGCATCGCCATTGCTGGCGGAGGCATCAGTGGCCTGACTCTGGCACTTGGCCTCCTCAAGTATGAGCACATCGACGTCCAGATCTATGAAGCCGCACCCGCTTTTGGTGAAATAGGCGCTGGTGTCGCTATTGGACCCAACAGCCAGCGCGCTCTCAAACTCATAGGACCCCATGCACGGGACGCTTTCGACAAGCATGCGACATCGAACATGTGGGAAGCTTACGCCGATGTCTTCACAGAACACATTGTCGTAAGTGGAATGTTTTGCAGCCCGTGGAACAGAGCTTTGTGTATCATCTGAAAGATACTGACGCGGTCCTTCTCCATCAGGGCGCAGGCGAGCATGAAGGCGAAGCATTCGCTTCCCAGAAGACCCAAGGCGGCATGCGAAGCGTACACCGCGCTCAGTTCCTCGACGAGCTTGTCAAAGGAGTGCCTGCTGAACGTGCACACTTCAACAAGCGCCTCCAATCCACCGAGGAAAAAGAAGGCGGCGGCGTGTTTCTCCACTTCAAGGACGGCACGACTGCAACGGCGGATGCCGTCGTTGGAGCGGACGGCATCCACAGCACCATACGCGAGTATCTCCTCGGAGAGCGCGACATGGCTGCTCACTCCGTCTTTGCGGGCTCGGTCGCCTATAGAGGACTTATTCCAATGGACAAGGCGGTGGAGAAACTGGGTGCTGAGTACGCGCAGAACTCGATGATGCTTTGCGGTCCCGGTACGTCGACTTTTCGATCCCCTTGATCCGCTCGCGATAGCACTGACGGCCTTGCAGGCAAAGCGATTCTCAGCTACCCCACCGACCTCGGCAAGATTATGAACGCGGTAGTGATAGACTTTGAGCGACCAGACTGGGACAGCGACAAGTGGATCATGCCAGCCACCTCCGAACAGCTTAACCGCCTCTTGAGCGGCTGGGGCAAAAAGGCGCACGGTCTCATCGAGCTCCTCGATAGTCCGAGTCTGACCGCTTGGGCCATGCGTGACGACCTCCCCGCCTCCACGTACGCCATCGGCCCCGTAGCGATGATGGGCGATGCCGCTCACGCCTCGACTCCCTTCCAGGGCCAAGGCGCCGGACAGGCGATCGAAGACGCTCTCGTGCTCGAGACCCTTCTCGGACGCGTACACGATCCGAAGCACATCCCCAACGCTTTCGCGGCGTATGATCAGGTCCGGAGACCGAGGAGCCAGAGGGTCGTGAAGACGTCACGGGAGGCGGGGGAACTGTTCGGCATGATGGCGAAGGGGGTGGGGAGTGATCTGAAGAAGATCGCAGAGCAGGCGGACACGAGGATGCACTGGATCTGGAATCGGGATCTGGAAAAGCAGAACGGAGAGGCGATTGCGCTGTTCGAGGAGAGTTTGTGAATTTCTTGACGTCTATCGGGTTGACGGTGTAGCAGGGGAAACAATGTTTGGTATAGACCTCGTTGATGTTGTGTCAGTCCATGGAGCCAAGCTCAGTCCTACGCACTCTCTTCGTTATCCAACCTGCTCTGTGAAAGGTTTCCGGCTCTAGACCCTACCACTCGACGCCAACCCTGCGACTCCAATCTTACACTGCTAATTTCGAGGTTCATATGTTCGACAATGGTAATTGGTCGAAGTCCCCTCCAACTTCCTCGCTGCTCCCCTTTTCAGCTCGTTATGACAGTCACCCTACAGTCGTTGATCCACCAGTTCTTGCATATCCAACCCAGACTCAAGCCCGAAGATCTGCAGGAAGCCGACCGAAGACTACCTTAGTTGGCCCAGCTGCAGAGGAACTAGATAGCCCTGCTCCGTATCATCATCATCATCATCATCCTCATCGAAAAAGAGCTCTCTGGTACGTAGCGATGCACGAGGGCGCCAAGCAGCGGGACTCGATTTCCTATTTTCTGCAATTGGCGCTCGCGTGGCATGCGTGGGGCCGAAATTGCGTACGTACGTCCGATGTTGAAGAGGAGCGAGTGGAGGAGGAAAAGGAAACAGATAAGTTGGCGTAAGGAGATTCAATTCCAAATCTCATTGTGCAGGGGCATGGGCGGATGTATTGTTGACTTTGGCCGGCCACGCACGTATGCAAAAGGGTGGACGCTCTGGCTTGCATT